AAGAACGAAAACAAAAAACTGGCAACGCGTTAAAATCGGACTTAGTGGAGTTTGTATCTCGAGAGATTAGATCAGTTTTATTTTTATCCTTCAAAAAAAAGTCAAAATATAGTGAAAATTATATATATATATATATATATATATATATATAAAAAAAAAATAGATATATAATCGGAATGTTCTTATAGATATTTTTTTTTTAAAAATAGTGCTCAATGTAAATTTAAGATCATTAATTTATAAATTAATTGATTTAAAATGTTTTTTTTACACAGTTCTAACCATGTTTCAAAAATGGAAGCTAAAGAATTGAATTTAATTTTTAATTAATTTAATTTTGTAATTAATTTAATTTAAAATTTATTTTAATTTTGTATAATTTAATTTTTGTAATTAATATATAATGTTTTAATTTATTTCAAAATTAAATTCGAAAGTTTAGCTTCCATTTTGAAACAGATATATATAATATATATATATATATATATATATATATATATAAAAAAAAAAAAAAAAAAACATTTTCCAAATGTTTCAAAAATAAGATATATAATCCGGTATTCTTATAGATATTTTATTTTTAAACAAAATAGTTTGAATTGCTCAATTTCCAAATTTATTACTTAAATAATATTTAAATTCATTAATAAAAAAAAAAAAAAAAATTTTTGATTTAGATATGGAAAATAATCTTACTTAATATTTTTTGTTATAAAGTAATATAGTCTATTCTAAACAATGAAAATATTTTAAAATTTTAAAGTTGTAAAAAATTTGTAATAAAATAATTTTAAATTGAATGAATTCTAACCTAAATTTCTTTTAAATTTTACTACACGCATTAAAAAAGAATCCAAAATAACATTAAATAGTAAAATAAATTTAATTTTTTTTATTTTGAATGACCCATCCTCAGTAATTACATGAAATATTTTAATAATAGGTTTATATATAAAAGAAAAGTTTACTGAATCAAATGTCATAGTATATACAAAAAAAAAAAAAAAAAAAAATTCACTTTCATATACATACTTTTTAATGTTAAAATAATCCTACATAATATAATGGATTCTAATACAAAATTTAACTGTTCTTAAAAAAGAAATATTTAATTTAAAATTAAAAAGGAAAATATTTCAAATTAGTTAAATAAAAAAATATTGGTTAAAAAAAATCTTTAATTTTAAAAGATGACGTTGAAAATTTTTACAAATACAACTTTAATTTTTTTTTTTTTTTTTTTTTAAATTCAGACGACATCCATTTGACGTCAGGTTATAGTTTAAAATACAAAGAAACCCCTTACCAAAATGTAGCTAATAACTGATACAATGATACTGTCATATAGGAAAATCTAGATATTTGTTCAATTTGGATTAGAATATTTGTAACCATGGAAACGTGATTTTAGCTGTGTATTTAAACCCGGTAAATTTTTAAAGGCTCAAAATTCGCTTGAAGATCGGCGGAACTAATGCTTTTAATTTATTTGCAAAAATTTATTTGCATTTATATTTTTTTATTTTTGAAACATTGGAACTGTGTATTTACATTGAAATACTATATTTTATAAAAATTATTAATAATATTCTTCTTCTATATATATATCTAGCTATTTATAAAGGTAAATATCATAAGGATTCACTCGGATTTTGGAATGGGTTAATTAGCCTGATGGCAACTAGTCTGAATTCAAAACCTGCGGTGGGTCGTTTGGGGAGATTTTGGCATGTAGTGTACCACGTCTCTGTATTCAACCCTTCAAAAAGTGTGGTTTGTTCATGACAAAGCCTTCACCACTATAATCAAATCATATGTGCTGGGGTCTGACTGTCGGTTCCTAGGAAAAATAAATATGAAATCTCATTTTAACAGATATATTTGCCAAAATTACACCAAAATATCTTGAAATACTAAAAAGTAAATTTATTCAATAAATTCGCCATTTCATTCAGATTCTCCTACAACTCCTCTGAACGGTCTCCTTGTTTAAGATGCAGGGAATGCAGTGAATCTTTGGTGCGACAAGAAGTTTTGTTGATCTCTCCTTCAATTGCACCCCACACATAATAATCAAGGGTTTTGCAGTTAGGAGAGTTAGGTGGCAAGATGTTTGGACTGTCAAAAAGAGATAATTGAAAATTGATTTTCTAAACGATCATTTCTCTGAACGACATTTGACGAGACTTTGGTTGTCCATGAATTTATATGGAAATTTGAAAATTGATATCTGAACTGTTGACAAAACAGACCTTGACAAAGAAGATTCAAAACAGTTGAAAGTTGGGAAAACCCTTCAGCTGACACCGTATTCTCCTGACTTGGCCCCTTCGAACAAATCGGAATTCGTAATCTGCCAAGCCTCTTTTTGACAGTCCAAAAAGCTGCAACACGATCCCAACATACCTTCTGAATGTTTTTTGTCGTACTTCTGACGCTTACTCCATTCCGAAATTTATAGAGCACAATATGTGTAAGTGTAATTTTTCATCCTTCATCTTTAAAGCGTTCATTTAGAAACAAAAGGCCAGCATTCAACAATTGCAACGATACAAGGTTTCAATATCGAACACACAAGAAATCTGCACCAAAAAAAAATGCCAGTGTTAAGTTGCAGCCATTTTATATTAACAATGAAATTCGGACAGGAGCTTTGCACAATGATCTGACCGAAGGAACAAGAGCTGGAAATGTATAACTGTAAAAAAAAAAAAGAAGAAATCTTTTAGAAAGGAAGACATAGATGTAAGTAAATAAATAATTCATAGAAAATTAAAAAGTACACAAACAGTAGATAGATTTAAAAAAAAAAAAAAAAAAAAAAAAAAGATGGCGAGGACAAAAAGAGACCTAAACACAAAATACGCGTTACCTATCCTTCTATAGGTAAAAACATTTCCAAATCAAAATCGATGGCCTCTTGCCTGTTGGGGTTACCCATACCTGAGTGACCGTGTCTTCAAGGGTTGTAGCGATACTCACCACACTTGACCAATTGCGGACCATAGTTGGAGGTCTTGAATTCAGGGTTGATCTTCTCCTAGTCTGGTTACTACCCAAGGCTATAGGACCTAGTCTGCCTTGCTACTTATACATAGGTTGGGGAGAGAAGGCAAGCATTCATATCTTTCCCAAGGGCATTTGCTCATAAGCGAATATAAGCAACCCAAATGGAATCCAAATCCTCTAAGCTCACTTCACTTATTATGTCACCCAGATATTTCAAATTGCCGATTTTAAATATTAGTGGCCTTTTCGTTCCAGCTTCATAATTTCCTTCATGACATTGTCAGCATTCCTCTATAAAGCCTCATCTCTGTTGTCAAAATTCATCTCTTTGGAATTTATCCAACATTCACTGCTATAGTGGAGGATTGATATTACAACGTGGCTGGTAATAATGATAAAGGATTTTAAAAAGTCACAGAAAAATGTCACAATTTGGGCTAGGGAAAAAGCCACAAGAGAAAAGTCACAGCTTGGTTTTGCAAGTCACAGGTTTGGTATAAATGAACCCATTGTAGCAGATTTTTGGAACAAGCTTATTACTATCAATAATTTCTGTGGCAGGCAGGAGGCGTCAAAATTATATTTCACTAAACCCAAATATTGTGAGTCCAGAACAGCACGGAAATACAAGACTGCCACTATTCACGTTGTCTTCAGGGTTAGGTTAAAGGTTCTAGGGTTACGCTTAGTGTAAGTTTTGGTTTGTTTTCTTTTGTTTTACGGCATATCAACCTCAATGGGTTATTTAATGCCGATCAAATGTTCATTTTTGGTAATATTTTCTTTCACAAATCTATTTCTGGTAAAAATTTTCCTGCACTGGTAATATTTTTTTAAAAAATGTATTGCTGGTAATATGTATTTTTCAAAACTGTATTGTTGGTAATATTTTTTATAAAATGTTTCTGTTATTAAAACCTATTTTTACATTTTCAGAGTGTTTTGACCAGAGTTTGGGTGGGGGGTAACTATTTGCCCATAGCTAGGACCCTAATAGGTGCTACTACCCCGGGTTATGGTGGACCTGGGAACATCATCAATTAAGAAGTGGTTCCACGCTCCTCAAAACCTCCTGATCAGAGGCCTTGCCGTTGGAAGTAGTTTATCATCTTACCGAAGATGCAGATGTAGTTTATTGTCTTACCCATGATGCTTTAGTGTAAGGTTTTTAAAAAGTCTATTAAATAAAAATATAGAAACAATGCTAATATTGTCGTGTTTCTTTTTTTTCCTGTGACTTTTTTACCTGGATTTTATTACATAACAGTTCAACATTTTTTTTTTACATTTTTATGTTTCTAACGAAATTTTTCTGTTTCTTAATACCATATTTAGTTTTTGGTTTGGCTTATTTTGTTTTTACTCAGACACACATACATGATGGCTAGCTGCTTATCTTTAGCATACACCCACCTGTTACACTCACAGTATCAACTGCACTGAATAAACCTTAGTTTCAGTCATTTTTTATTGATTTTTCTACAGCTTATCATCCCTTTGCAGGTTAAAGGCCAAAAATATTTTTACATTGTAAGAATTTTGTTATATATAATATTTTAGTGATAGTAATAAGAATTTGATTTAAACAAACAAAAAAACACAAGAAATCATAATGTGGATATAAAGTGGGGGATCAATTCTATATAAAAATCGATGTATAAACTGATCCCCCATTTTGTGACCATAGTAGTTTCTCATATTCCAGAGAATGTAAATAAATCTAAAAGACATGCCTATGTTTCTATGTTGCTATGATCGATTCTTTTTCTATGGCTTATCAATCATTTGCAGATTATTTAAAGCCAGAAGATATTTTTACATTGTCAGATATTTTTTTTTTATTAAGGATTTAGTGATACACGTCTGAATAATTAACCCATAGCTGGGAAGAGAACAGTTGGATTCATGAATTCTCAAGGGGATTTGCACATAACGAACCCAGTGACTAGCAATTCAGAGATACTTCCCATTACACCACCCGCACATCTAAGCTTACAGCACCCGATATTCCTAAGCGGTTACCCATCTAGCTACTTCGAGGCTCGACGTTGCTTAACTTAGGTGATCATACCGGAACCGATGTTACAACGTGATATGGTCGTGAGCCTTAATGTTATCTCTGTCTATAAAAGAAAGGATATGTGTGTGTGTGTGTGTGTGTGTGTGTGTGTTTGTGTGTGTGTGTGTGTGTGTGTGTGTGTGTGTGTGTGTAACGAATGCTCGGCCGCAATTTTCGACGGATTTTCACCAACATTTACATGCGCATGCTCCAGGTTAGCGGGAAGGCCAAGACCGACTTTACATTTCCCAACTCCCATCAATAGTGGAAATAATCGATTTTTTCATGCTTTTACGGCAGTTTTCATGTAGTTTGCGGCAATTTTGTATTGGCCAGAGTGAGAGCCAATAGCTGGCTGCCACAAATAGGCAGGAAGATTCTACTGGCCAGTGTGAGAGCCAACAGCTGACTGACACGAGTGTTAACTAGCATTCTAGCATGCAAAAAAAAATCGATAGCTGCATTCGTCACAAGTGGGAAAAATTTAAATCTGCATGGCACTTTACTCCAATTGGCTAATTCGCTTGATTAAACTGAACGTTGATTCTGATTCCGCAGAACTGGGATGGGTGTGAAAAAGTATTTGTTGTTAACATTCTTTTTTCATTCGGTTTTTCCAGTTAGGAGTCCTTTTTTTTAAAGCTGATCGTTTTGTGTTCATTTTGTTTAGTTCTTTTTTCGTAACAGATTTAATGTTTAGTATAGAGCTTAGAAAAAATTCGCAGTGTGAGATAGGCAAGAAGTAAGTCATGTAGCAACATCAGCACGGCAAAGGGCACTCCTTTAAAGGCAATAAATATTTTAAGTCAAGTGATAGCGATTGCTGTATGAATCGTACGATTTTTGAATCAGGCACGGGCAACGCCGGGCCATGCTGCTAGTTGTAAATAAGAGGACGCATAATCTGGCGTGATCAATAGTTGAACAAAGCCATATGCTCAAAGAATTTGTCACGAACATAATTTCCTCTTCTTGGGACAACATCATTGATAAATCAAAAAGTTATCTCCCTGATAATAGTAAGATTCCAATACTCATTATATATACACTACAGACCAAAAGTTTGGGACCACATTGATTTTTTTTCCTGTAATCTTAAAAATTAATCAAGATTCATGTTTTTAAAGAAATACATTTTTTGCTATGTCTTCATACAATTATGCAATAACTCAAAATAAAAATGAGCATGAAATAATTATTATTTCAATTAAAGCAAATTTATATTTGCTTTTCATTAAAGAATCTTTATTTTCTTTGCTATCTGACATTCGGAATATCCTTCTATAGAAAGAATTTCTCAATACTAATCTGTTTATTTCTTATCATTTTAACGTTTTCTGAAAATTAATTTCAATCGCAAATTAATCTAGATGGACTTGAACGTAGATGTTCAAGTCCATCTAGATTAAGCAGTTGAAATATTTGTAAATTTGTTCTACATTTCAAAAAAGGGATCAGGTTGTAACAAAATTTCCAAAGTTTATGTCAATAAATTTAAAATACTTGCAGAAAAATTTGTCTGAATTTTATATAAGTGTTAGTATGTATAAACAATAAGTGAATTTATTTATCCAAATATGCAAAATTAGCCTTTTTATGAACTTAGGGAAACAATTCCAGGTAGTCCCAAACCTTTGATCGGTGTATATATATATATATATATATATATATATATATATATATATATATATATATATATATATATATATATATATCAATTAATTTATAATATTAATGCTCTGTAAATTTACATTGAGCACTATTTTGTAAAATAAAAATATCTATAAGAACACCGGATTATATATCTTACTGTTCTTTTCTTTATATATATATATATATATATATATATATATATATATATATATATATAATACAGTAGCGAGCACATAAAGATCAGAACGAATGTTATATAATTATTCTCATAACTTTATCAAATTATATTATTATATAATTATACTTTTACCTTTATATCCTTATTTTTCCTTCATAAAATGTTCTTTAAAGCTTTAAAATAAAGTCTCACATTTAGACTTTTTCTTAACATCGTTCTGATCTTTTATGCTCGCTACTATATATATATATATATATATATATATATATATATATATATATATATGTATGTATGTATGTATGTGTGTATGTATATATTAAAAACGCATTTTAAATTATTTATAATAGAGCACTCTTATATAGAAAAAAAAGGAAATGAATGAATGACGTAAACAAAATTACTTCATATTTATAAACAAACAGGTTCTTATAACTGCAAAAAATCAGTCATTAATTTAACACAATATCATTATATGAACAGGGCCCGAAGTAGGCTGACGTTTCTTTCTGTGATAGACTGGTTGCCAAGCAAGGCTATAGAGCCCTTTCTGTTTTATTGTTTCGTTGCAGCTCAGATCTGACAACCAGGTTCATTGACAAGGTGCAGCACCTTCAAGCTTTTGGGGTTTAAAATTACCCTCCAGTCAGATCATGGCGTGTAAAATATGACGATTTTAAGCAGTAAGCCAAATTTTATTATTGTGTTGTAACCAATAAATAAGCGAGCGAGTTTGAGATGAGACATAGGTGAGGGGATAAGAGTGAAGAGTCTAACAGGTGTGGCTGTTCTCCGAGGCCCGCTTCGTCTATCTGTGTATCTTTTTTCGGTACTGGTCAGTTTTTATAGCTAATATGGTTCTTTGTCTTGTCATCTTCGTCTAAAAAAGCAATTTATTCTCATTCAACGACTTCTATTTGTCGGCTCCGCTCGTGAACCCATTTCACGATGCTGATAAACTTTCTTTTTAAGATCATGGACCTTCACTTCCCCCTATCTCTTGTGGTTTTGTGTTTCTGCCAACTCCCCCAGACCACGCTCCGCTATCCACCTGCCATGCACTGCTTTCCACTCTTTTCCCTTCTAGTCGTCCTGTGAGTATCAGAATCTCCAGGCCTTCCTTTCTCATCACGTGTCCCAGAAATTTCATTTGCCTCTTCCTTTTGTTATAAGTTGAAAATCTTCAATAGAGAGTGTCAACCATATCTATAGGGATCACTCTATTGTCCTCATTTTTGTCACCATATTTATCACAACAGTTCAGCCGTTGTACGCCCCGGCCTTCTCCAGGTGGTTGGAATGTCGAACTGAACTCTTTATTTCGCCGCACTGGGGTAGACTGTTCTAGTTCCACGTGCCATGTTTAATGGATGTCAGTTATCAGTTATCTCCTGTTAATTGCCCTCTCCAAGTTCGCCACTGCCTCAACCGGGTATTGAACTCACACTCTTTAGGTCCTGTCACTGGATCTAACCAATCCACTGTGCCATGTGTCCTTGAGGACATCTGTATATGAATTTCTGGGTATTATAAACCTAATGTCATCAGCCTTCAATTTTTTACCAGTGCTCATATGGCAATTTTTGCTCTTATCACTTTCCATGATTTTACCAGAGCTCATATTGCTATTTTTTGTTGTTATTATCGCTTTTCGCTGGCACTTCTTATTACTGGTACTCATATTGTATTCATTTCTATGCTTGGTCGGCTCAGGAGATATTTGTGGCCTAGCATATGTGCTGATTCCTTAAGTTTACGAATTTTCCAATCGTGTTCTTTGTCTGTGATCTCAACCTGATTCCACAGAGGGCGTTAGTCTCCCTTTTCTCTCCATATATGGTCAGCCACGACTGATTTTTCCACTTTCTCTTTTATTACAGCTTTAAATGGCCGAAACCTTGTGATAAATAGGACAACAAAGCTGAGGACAATTGTCCGAATAATGTAAATAATGTACATAATACCTCATCTCAGAAATATAGACAGATACTGAGGATCACTCTGTTCTGCTTTCAACCTATAGATGAGCAGGGAGTACAGATGGATTCATATCTTTCCCAAGGATATTTGCGCGTGAGTAAGTGTATTATTCAGGATTAATTTTCCTTGCTGTCCATCAAATGCTTGAATTAAGAAAAAATAGTACAATAAAGAAATAAACCTCGTGACTCTTTTCATATCTACCGCATAGGCCGTCGGAGAAACATTCATACAAGTTATTATGTTAGCTCTATCACTTATATTGAGCGCTTTCCACTAAGTACCGCGCATATAAAATAATATATACATGCATATATATATATATATATATATATATATATATATATAGGGAGAGAGAGAGAGAGAGAGAGAGAGAGAGAGAGAGAGAGAGAGTGGGGGAGAGAGAAAATCAGGAACAACAAAACTCAAGCCCACCATGCTACCTAGGTTTTGACCGTTAGGTCTCCTCGGGCAAGTAGAATGGTTACAGCATCCTTTTACAATATACTATCTCGTATTTTATATTTATATATATATATATATATATATATATATATATATATATATATATAGAGAGAGAGAGAGAGAGAGAGAGAGAGAGAGAGAGAGAAAGAGAGAGAAACAGACAGACAGATATTGATGAGATTAAAAAATTAAAATTTTAAATTCCCAGCATCCCTTATTCATGCGCATGTGTAGCCGGACCAACATAACAAATTTAGTCCGATGAAGTCCTAAAGGTCGAAACGCGTCACAAGAAAACTTTTTTCCATTTTGTTATTGTTCTTGATACATAAAAATATATATCGTTATCTCATATATATATATGAGAGAGATAATAAAATCTGACACATATATTGAATATATTCTGACCAATTTATTGAACAAGCAGAATGTTTTGCCTTTGCAAAAATTGAGTTTTGCTAGCTTTGATGAGATAAAAATAAATGAGGCAAGTGTTACGGCAGATTCAATCATACATGGTTAAGATCCAATCGACTGAAGGATTCTGGCGAGATTGTTGACGCTTTCAGGTGGAATTGGAACGGAAAAGATGCAAGAAGAGAAAATACAAAACAAAAAAAGCTGGCAGAGGAGAGATGGGAAAAAATCAATTATATGTAGATAAGAAATTCGTTTCCGGTTTGCGCAAATAATTGATTAATAGAGAAATGGTCCAACGACATAGAAATAAAAACAGATGTAGATAGATAGATAGATAGATAGATAGATAGATAGATATGCTGCGATAATAGATAGATAACAGGCTGCGATAATAGATAGATAGATAGATAGATAGATAGATAGATAGATAGATAGATAGATAGATAGATATGAAAAGAGATAGATAGATAGATAGATAGATAGATAGATAGATAATTTTTATTTATGAAATATACTTAGTATGTTTGTCGCTAAAATAGATATTTTGTTGATGTCGGGTTGTATGATTTTTATGCTTAATACGTCCAACATTTGTAATCGTTTTTTTTTTTTTTTTTTTTACAGTTTATCAGATACAGTATTTTTGTGTTTTGTTGTTTGGTGATATGCGATTTCTTTGAACTGTTATTGGATAAATGACATGTTATAAAATTTAGGAACAAACAGAAGCCATATTTGAAAAGCGATGAAACTGAAATAGCACACAACCAAAATCTCTTTGATAATGAGTTGTGAAAGCTGAAATTATTGAATAATTTATATTTAATCTCTCATCGAAAACCAGGAAAATGGTTTGAAATATAGAAACACACGCAAAAAATCCTAAGCATATAAAAATGCCATTGGTCTTTTGGTAAATTTCTATAAATCGAGAATTGCTACACATTCAATACATTACTGGATAGGAAAAAATTCAAAGTTATAAAGTAAATGAATTTTTTCTTCAATCTTGTTTAAATACTTCTTTTTGTTGTTGTTTTTTTTCTGATTTTGAATAAATTTAAATTGTTATAATTTGTTCCAACTCTTAAAATGAGCACGCCAAAAAAAAAGGCGTTTTGTGTCGTGCAATTTACGAAGTGTAACCTTAAACTTTGTAACTTCGAAACTTTTTCTATCTAGTAATGTGTTCAATGTGTTTCTCACTCTTAGCATTTGTTTTTTATTAAATTTTCGAAATTTTCACTTTCTTTTTCAATAACCCTGTATATTTGGACATTTCTTACACGCATTATGCTCTGCCCAAAAAGGAAATCCTTTGCACGAATGAAAGAAAAATATAATAAAAAGCTTAATCACCTTTAATTAATGTCACATATATATATATCATATATATATATATATATATATATATATATATATATATATATATATATATACACACTACAGTTCAAAAGAAGGAAGCCACCCCAGAATTACCATAGGATGAAATTGGTAGAAGAAAAAGAGGTCTTTGAGAAAAAAAATCAATTATCAAAATTATACTTTGAGAAGCTTTTGTAATTAATGTCAAAAATTTGTGCTGCAGTAATCAAAGCTAAAGAAGGAAGAGAGCATAATTTAATCAAAAAATTCTTTTTTTTCTTTTTGTGATAATAAAATTTCTAATAAAAAGTCGTGTCTCGCTTTTTAAACCACTTATAAAAATTTTCTCTTATTTCAAGTACAAAACAATTACTTTTGGGGCCAATTTAAAAAAAATTACCAGAGTCTCAAACTTTTGAACTGTAGCATATATATATATATATATATATATATATATATATATATATATATATATATATATATATATATATGGAATTTGTAATTGTATATATATATATATATATATATATATATATGGAGGTTGTAAATTATTTTCAAATAGAGTGTATCTGTAAAGGAACAAAATGAATTAATTATATACAAGAGCAAGGATTTCATTGGTTTATCAAAGCTTTTAAGTTTGCCAAATACTTGGAAAAGGCATACTGTACTGCTTGGTATTTGCGCTGGAAGCTCAAATACTGATATTTCAGAGTGTTTGTGTGCACTGAGGACAGTGCAGAAGACTCGGAAAGAAAGAGTTGGATGAGTTTAATGGTGATTACGAAGGTACAGAAGCTCACTCTTACCTTTATGATACGAAAATAACTCCCGAATATGTTGGTGAGGACCTCAGACTCAACACGGAGGCCTGCATCAAGTGCTTTGAGGAGCTAGTCATGCCCTGAATAAAGTGCCTTTAGAAGATAGGTGCTGCCAAAAGACCTTGTGGATTCTGCACCATGCCAAACAAGTAAGAGAATCCAATCATGGCTATCAAACAATTTTTGCGACCACATCACCAGTTACATCTGGCCACCTAATTCCGCAGACTGCAATCCCCTTGATTATTGTGTGGGGTGCAGTTGAGCGAGAGACCAACAAAATTCCTTGTAACACCAAAGATGAACTGAAGGTAAGGATTATGGCAGCATTCACCAACTTAAACAAGAAGACTGCCCAGAAGAGTTGAAAGAGTTTGCGAATCGTTTGGAGGCCTTGGTTGAAGCCAATGGCGATTTAAAATGAATAAATATATTTCAGAATATTTTTGTGTAAGTTTGGTAAATATATCTGTTAAAATGAGATGTCAGTGTTATTTTTATTTTTGTGTTATTTTGACAATTTATCCATCGCATCCTTTATCTATGTATCTCAGTCTGTTAAGATCTATCTCTCTAAGTATCTTTCTATCTATCTATCTGTTTATATCTATATGTCCACCTATTTCAGTTTGTTCATATCTATCTATCTATCTATCTATCTATCTATCTATCTATCTATCTATCTATCTATTCAGTCTTTTCATATCTGTCTCTTTCAGTCTGTTGATATAATTCTCTCTACCTGATTATTTCAGTGTGTTCCTATCTATCTATCTAACTATCTATCTATCTATCTATCTTTATAGTTGTTCATATCTCTCTATATTTTAGTTGTTCATATCTATCTATCTATCTATCTATCTATCTATCTATCTCTTCATACATTATCTCTCATATGTGTGCGTATGTGTGATCGGATCCGAGGTACAATCATATGTAGATGAGAACAATATTTTTGGAAAATGTATAAACAGCTGTCTCTCAGTTACAGGCTGGCTTTAAACAACACTGAATCTCGAACACGGTTTTCAAAAGTATCACCCTTGTAGCTCGTTTCTTTCTTTAATATGAAGCTAGTCTTGAACCAGCGAGTAAATTAAAGAATCAAATTCTTACCTCTGCCAACTCCATTTCCAACTTCTGCTCCATTGCACGACGTCTAACAATCACTCTGTTGGTGGGTGCCACCTTCCATTTTCCCACAAGGAAAACCAGCATGGAGTTACTTCCGATCATAATATCTAGCTAAACGTAAGTAAAAACTAATTCAAAATGCGAATAGGAGCAGGTGAGGTGTTAAGGCAGTCAATTTTACAAGAAGTGGACGTTAACACCTTATCCATTATAAAAGGAATTGTCGCACCATCACGCAAGAGCGACGTAAAACGGCATTGTGAGTACCAATATGGCGTACATCCGCTTGTCTTCTATCGAGACAATTTAACGATATCACCAATTGGGGTATTTCCGGTTGTGCGACGGAAAGTCGGTAAAATTATTGTCAGAGAAGATTTCGAACGTAAATATTAGTCAATATTTCTGCATTTATCTACTTACTAATTCATCGAACCTTCCTCGGCGCAATCTACTCTTTCTTTCTTCATGTTTTTTTTTCCTTTTTTATGTCTTTCCTTCATTCTTTTCTTTCTTTCTTTCTTTATCTATTTCATTCTTTCCTTATCTTTTTTTTCTTTATTGCTTTTTTGTTTTTCCTATCTTTTTTGTTGTTATTATTGCTTTCTGATTTCATCAATTCCTTCTTTCTTTTTGGTTCTACGTCTATCTTTCTTACTTCTTCCCCACGTCTTTCTTTGTTTTTGTTTTTCTTTCTGCCTCCCATTCTTTGCCTTTAAATTCTTTCTTTCGTTCTTTCTTTCGTCAATTTTTTTCTTCCTCTCGTTTTTCATTCTTTTTCTTTATTGTTCTTTTATTTCTGTATTCGTTTTGTTTGCATTTCTTTACTCATTTTTATTCAAATTCATTCTCAATTTTTTTCCTGTGTTTTTCATTTTTTTTCTATTATTTTTTCTTAATGCTTTTTTCGTTCTAACTTTCCTGCTTCATTTTTAATTTTTCATTTATTTGGTAGTTTGTTTCAGTTTTATTACCTTCATATTTATTTAATTTTTCTTTCCTTATTTCTTTCTTCCTCACTTTTTTCTATCCCTCCTTTCTTTCCATCTTTCTCTTTCTTTCTTTCTTTCTTTTTTTCTTTCTTTCTTTCTTTCTTTGTTTCTGTATTTTTGTTTCGCTTTCTTTTTTCTTTCATTCATTCTTTCTTTCTTTCTTTCATCTTTCTTTCTTTCTTTCTGTATTTCTTTATCTTTCTTTCTTTCTCTCTACTTTCTTTCTCTCTCTTTTCTTTCCTTCATTCTCTCTCTCTCTCTGTCTTTTTTTCTCTCTTTCCTCCTTTCTTTTTCTTTCTTTCTCTTTTTCATCCTCTTTTCATTTCTTTCTTTCTCTTTCGCTCTCTTTCTTTCTCTCTTTCTGTGTCTCTTTCAGTCTATCTTTCTGTATTCCTTGTCCTTCTTCTTTCCTCTTCCTTTCTTTCTCTCTGTCTTTCATTCTTTCTCGCTTTCTTTATTTTCTTTCTCCCTTTCTTTCTTTCTTTGTTCCTCTTTCTTTCTTTTTCTTTTTTCGCTTTTTTATATCTTTGTTTCTCTCTCTCTTTATTTCTCTCTTCCATTCTTTCTTCCTCTCTTTTTTCTTTCTGTATTTCTTTCTCTTTCTTTCTTTCTTTCGTTCTTTATTTCTTTCTACTTTCTTTCTTTCTCTATCTTTATTTCTTTCTCTCTTTCTTTCTTTCCCTCTTTCTTTTTTCTTTCTTTCTCTTTTTCTTTCTTTCTCTCTCTTTCTTTCTACTCTCTTTGTCTCCGTCTTTCTTTCTTTCTTTCTACTCTCTTTGTCTCCGTCTTTCTTTCTTTCTTTCTTTCTTTCTTTCTTTCTTTCGTTATTTCTTTATTTTCTTCTTTTTCTTTTACCTTAGTTTCCCCTTTGTCTTACTTTCTAATTAAAACCTTCCTTAGAAACGTCACCATTCTTTTAAAATTCATTATTTACAAAAAACAATGGTATCTGTGCAAAATATCAAAGATTAAATAATGACATAACCAAGAGACTGACATTGTACACGATTTCGAACAAAAGCTCTGGAAGGAAGCGTATAGTAGAAAGAGCGATAAGCGTAAGCGGACATGAGAAACCTACAGGGCGTCACCAAAAATGTACTCATTCTCTTTAAATCACAATAAATGCAGTGTTTATTGAGATGCATACAAGGTTAATGGTTATAATTAAGACATTAATGTCTATTGATTTGCAAAGACCAGTAACAGTTTAAATTAAATATTAAATGAAAAAAGAGGCAACAGGAAAACGTATCTTAGTCGACGCGTTTCCTTCTGTAAGGAACTTTATCAAGACAACCATTTGCCTTGATAAAGTTCCCCAGAAGAATCCCAGTCTGTATTCGTGTTCTTCTGCCTATAAAAGCGGAGAGGCAAATCTTTTGCAGTTACTCTTATTTGTACTTAATATATTTTTATGTCGGTTGTAGCTTCCCTGTAAATATGTGGTATTGTGATATATGTAAGATTAAATGGTGATGGATGCGTTCTTATGGTGAATAAGCAAATTGTAATCGATGAATGGGACGTGAATCTGATTAGCTAGGTCTAGAGTAATTAGTGTTGGCCAGACCTACCCCACTTCCCATCCGGCCTTGTGCCAAATTATTTGCATATACAGTAATAAATAATCATTACTATAGGATTGAAATCAATTAGTGACAGTCAGTCTAGGAGAATATAAACTCAGAATTCAAAACTAACCTGAAGAGTAATGGGTTTCGTCAAGTTAACTTGACGTAGATACACCCACTCTTGTTATGGTTGCAGTACACGGTACCCCTACGAACCTGAGATACACAACACTTTCTATAGACATTTATACACGTGTTCGTAACCAACCTACTTAACGTCAGTCTGCGTAAAGATATTTACACTCGTTATCTCTATGGTCCCAAACAACTCTAATATTGTCAGAAATCACCTTACTACTCGTTGATCTATTAATAATTCTATTAGAAAAACAGTCTTATTCTATGATAAATAAGACTTGGCGATAAATTACAAGGTATTGAAAATACCAGAATCATGAGTCCCGTCACCAGTCATCTGTTTGTTACTTGCAACTCTATGGTTATAGTTAGGCATCGAGCACACTTTTTAGAAAGTAATCTTGTTAAGCAAAAAATCAGAGGTTGAAGCTCACCAACCTAGTGCATCAAATGAAATCAAATCTTTAAATCTTTCTTCTATATGCCCTGTTCTTTCAGGACGTGGACGATCATATCTCTCCACAACATCTCTTTTGGAGCTCTGAGTAACGTTTGTCTTTTTGTTATCTTTCCTAATCCCTGTTCTTCCAACCATTTACACAAGCCCTATCCCTCTTGCCTTCTGTATGTCTTGTGAGTGTCAAATTCTCCAAGTCCTCTTTTCTCATTACGTGATATAGAAATTCCAATTGCTTCTTTCTGATTCTAACTATAAATGTCCTTTTTGGTTCCATTTTCCTTAAAACTTCGTCGTTGCTCACATGTTCATGACATTCTCAGAATCCTTCTGCAGAACAACATTTCTGTTGCTTCAAGTCTCTTCTTCATCTGTGAAGAGATTGTCCAGCATTCACTGCCAAATAGGACGATTGATATTATATAACCATAACAGTTCAGTACTTGTTTCTTTGTTTCTAACGAAAATTGTCTTGTTTCTTAATACTTTACTTAGCTTTTGGAAGACTTCTTTCGCTATTCCAATGCGCCATCAGATTTCGGCGTCATATTTTCCCTTTCTCTATTAAAACACCACCTAGACATTTAACTTTCCGTATTTGCTTGATTATGGTGCTGTTCTTTTTGCTAATTAGTCCTGGGTGTGACGATAAACTACACCCGGCAGCAAGGCATCCGATCGGGAGATTGGAGGTTTTGAGAAGCGTGGTACCACTTCTTAATTGCTGTTGTTCCAAAGTCCACCCTCACCCTGTTAGGGTCCCATCTATAGGCAAGTACCAAACCCTCCAAACAAAAACAAAACACTATCAATGTCTAAAAATACATTTTATAGTAAAAATATCAGCAGTACATTATTATATAAAAAATTACCAAAAATACATTTTATAGCAAAATGACCAACAATACATTTTATCTGTAGTTGAAAGCATACAATTGTGTTCAAAATATATTTAGTTGAAGTCATAAAATTGCTCAAAATATTGGTTGGTAACTAAGTTCTCGCCGTTTTTTGTTTGTTAGTTTTTTTAAATTTTGGAACTTATTGTGTTTTTAAATGTTGGAACCTATTTCTTTCAAGAATTCTATTTTGGAATCATTTTTTAATCTATTTTTTGTTTTGCTTTGGGTTTTTTTCGGGTTAACTTAGGTTAATTTTTGTTTAATTTCAGATCATTAAAATGGAATGTCAAGTTAAGAAAAATGAGCATTTTCGACACCTCCTTCTTTTTGCTTTTAATCAAGGTTCTAAGGCCGCAAAAGCTGCTTGCGACATTTGTGCTGTGTATGGAGAGGATGCCATAGCTGAAAGAACTGCTTGTGATTGTTATACCAAGCTCGAAAATGGACATTTTGACCTCAAAGGCGCCCCTCTGATCGTTCAGTTGAGTTCGATGAAGAGCGATTAAACCAACGTTTGCACGAAAATTCTCGTCAAACGACACTGGAACTGGAAGAGAAAATAGAATGCTCCCACACTGCTATCGAGAAACATCTTCACTCGATGGGAAAGGTTCAGAAGTGTAGAGTATGGGTTCCGCATGCTTTAAGTGACAATAACAAAAATGAGCGCGCCACAATATTCGCTGGTTTGCTTGCTCTTCACCGTTCAACTCATGGACACAAGCAACGATTTCTTAACCGAATCGTTACTTGCAACGAAAAATGGTGCCTGTACATCAATATGAAGAAGCGCAAGGAAGGGCTTAGCCCCGGTAAACAAAAGACACCGCGCGTGAAACAGGATCTTCATCCGCATAAAATGATGTTCTGCGTATAGTGGGACTGGGAATGGATTATCCATTACGAATTGCTTGAACGGAACCAAACGGTTAATGCAGAACTCTATGTATCAACAGATGAAACGACGCAACACGGCTGTTCAACAGAAAAGACCTAATCGGCAGCATGGAGTTCTTTTGCTGCACGACAACGCCCGCCCTCATATCGCCAATATGACCAAGGAAGCCATTCAAACTGTTGTCGCGAGCGAATTTTTTCTTCCACGGTATGAGTGCGAATCCTCGTCGCCAAAGTTATTGTGGAGTTATTTCGCAGTGGAGGCTTGTATTTGTACTAATCGGTCTTAAATAGTTCGACGTACAAAAACGTTAGGAATTTGATATAATAGGTATTACGCAGAGTAATCTTGTTGTGATCGCTGACTACTTTCGTATTCGACTTAACTGTCGTCCAACATCGACGCTATTTAGTAACTGCCCCACGCAGTCACATGTGGCACAAGGCCGAATTTAATGTGGGGTTCCCGAGCCTGTAGGCTCGGCCAAAAAATCCCCGTAGACCCCGCATAAATGGGATCGGGTCTGTCTAACTCCCCGGGCGAAACTCTGCCCTTCTGACAGCCCCGTCCGGGCTCCTCTCCGCACGAGGGTATCATGTGGTACAAGGCCGGTTTAACGTGGGATCTCCGAGCCCGTGGGATCTCCGAGCCCGTGGGCTCGGCCAAAAATATACCCTTTGAACCGGTATAAACGGGTTCAGGGTCGGTTTACCTCCCTGAACGAGACTCCGCCCCTCGGCGTAGCCTCATTCGGGTTCCTCCCCGCCCGAAGGCAGAGAGTTCAACCGTTCAGCCGGTCGTCCGACATCGACTGACTGACGTTTCTCTTACTACCCCTACTTATATTAGGTGGGAGAGTCTATTAACTATAGAATAGGTGTACTCTCCCGATTTGACACCAACGGATTTCCATCTCTTTCGATATCAGTATACTGATGCAGAATTGAGAGCTTGGTTGGATGAATTTTCGAGTCGAAACAGGGTGATTTCAACCAACGAGGTATTGAAAATCTTGTTGAATGTTGGGAGGAAGCCTTAAACAACAAGGAAGAATACATTATTGATTAATTAGTTATTTTTTGTTTAACCTTTCAAACAATTTAAATTAAAAAAACGGCAGGAACTTAGTTGCCAACCCAATATTTAGATTTTCGGCATTAAATAACCCCTAAAGATTCTATGCCACTAAACAAAATCAACCAACCAGCCGAACATTCTAGGTAAATTACATGATTTCAGATTTCATTCACAGTGAAATTGCTGTAATGCTGCGAGTAACCAGACTGCTGGATGATGGATGTTTTTATCGTGACATCTTCTCTGGAGTTGAAGAGTCAGGTTCGAATCTACCTTTCAGCTATTAGAATAATCTATAAGCAGGATAAAAAACAGCTACATCAAAATATCTAAAGTTGCAGATTCAGGTTCGAATCTACCTTTCAACTACTAGAATCATTTGCAAACAGGAGAAAAGCGCTTACGTTAAACCTTTGAGCCCTGACCCCCCACTTTACCGGTGGTAGAGAAAAATGACGTAATGCCCGGTCACCGGTTGAACGGTGGGTAAACACATGTAACTATTTTTTATATCTATCGTGAAACATTCCAATTATTTGCGAATTTTGACTCAGGAACTCGGGTAGAAGGGTTATAATTGTTTAGGAACGCAAGGATCAAAGGGTTAAAACTGCAACAAAAAGTGTATTGAATTCGGAAAGAGTTGGATGAGTCTAATGGTGATTACGAAGGCACAGCAACTCGGAAAACTCACTCTGATCGTTCTGATAAAAAAAAGAACTTGTTTCCAGTTTCAACCTGACACGGGGTGGTAGCACCTGTTCGGATCCCAGCTATGGGCAAATAGTGAACACGCAAACAAAAACAAGACTATGAGGGTATCAAAATAATTTTTCATAGTTAAAATACCAGCAAAACATTATTATATAAAACAATTACCAACAGTAACTATTTATAGCAGAATGACCAACAATACATTTTATCTGTAGTTGAAGCCATGAGATCGTGTTCAAAATGTTTGGATTTCGGCATTAAATAACCCATAAATGTTGAACAAAATCAACTAACCAACGAAAATCGTTTTGCTGATAACCATTGCGTTTTCTTATAATTGATGCTTAGTCCTTTCTTCTCACTTTCTTTTTTTACACTAAACTATCATTAAAGGGATGGGAATAGAATCGATCATGTTTATATTCTTTCATTAGCTAAGCTCTCTCGCGACACAACAAAAGAAATCGTCCCTTGCTTTCATTCTTTCAATTTACCAAAATATTAGGCTGGCCAGAAAGTCCTGACTCATTTAGGAAGCGGAAAGAAAGCAACAAAATTTTATGGAGTAATACCAACATTTATTTTTCAAAATAAAGTCCATCATTCTCGATTATCTTCTGCCAGCGGATCAGCCAGCATCCGAATCTGTCCCAGATACCAGTCCACAGGATTTGAAAAAAAAAAAAAAAAAAAAACTGTAAATAAGCTTCTTTCACTTCATTGAAATGTTGAATCGCTGATCGCGGTTGAGGTGTGCCATTGAGTGGAATAGGCCATAGTCACTCGGAGCAGCATCGGGTCTGAATGGTGGATGTGGAAGAATCTCAACACCATCCATCTGTTTGAACTTCTCCTTAGTCAACCTGACAGGGTGTGGTATCGCATTGACAAAGCCTGACTTCGATTCACCAAAGCAGGAATCATAGCCCAACCTCGATTAACCAAAGCAGGAAACATAGCCCAACCTCGATTAACCAAAGCAGGAAACATAGCCCAACCTCGATTCACCAAAGCAGGAAACATTTTTTATAACCAAACAAAAGTAATTTATTAAGGATTAAGACCTTAATTAGTGAACATTTTTCTTCAAATAAGGCTTTTGAAAAGGCAGTTTGTAAAATATGAATCAGTTTTTTTTTTGTTTTTAATTATTTTAATAAGGTAAATCATACTTATCATACAGGTTGTGTGTGTGTGTGTGTGTGTGTGCGTGTGTGTGTGTGTGTGTGTGTGTGTGTGTGTTCGTTCATATATTGAATCGGATTTCCTACATTTTTCAACCGATTTCAACAAAACTTCACAGGACTACGTAAAATTACCTTGCGGTAGTTCTGACAGCGCCCAAAATTGGAAAAACACAATTGTTTTTGCACGAAATCAATTTGAAAACACGATAAGAGGCATCGCTGTCTCGAGAATGAAAGGGGGACAACTCATATCGAGTTATACTTATTATAAAACCCAGGTTGTTTGTGTGTGTTTCTGTGCTTGTTTATATATGGGATCGGATTTCCTACATTTTTCAACCGATTTCACTTTTTTTTTCACTTTTTTTTTTTGGCAGGTACTGTTTCTTATTGTCTTGCACACTTTTTTCTTTATTTTTACATTCAGAATGCTTTAAAAATTCCATTTACAAGACAATTGTTTATAATAAAATTCTATTCAATCGGTAGACTCATAACGATTCAAAGCAATGTTTTGTTTGAGTTTGGGTTTGGGTTATTAAAAAAAAAAAAAACTAATTAAGACATGCGTGTCCGTCAACCTTAAACAATAATCTTTGTCAATTTTATTTTTCAGTCTTTATGATGGTCGATACTTGATCTATCTCTTACTGTTACATCCCCGGGCAACGCCGGGCTCTACTGCTAGTCGTAAATAAATTTAATTTTAATAAAGTACATTGATATATAAAAAATAATTCAACAAAACATACAAACGATTTACTTTATTAAAAAAACTGCTTCATTTTGTTTTTTAATTTTTCGATTCATTTTATTAAAAAATAATTAAAAAAGTGTGTTTTATTGAATTATTTTTTATATGTCAGTTTACTTTATCATAAATTACGATTTATATATTTATAATATTTATATATATATATATTTATATATTTATTATCTCTTTACGATTTACTTTATTAAAAATAATTAAAAATAAAAAAAAATGGTTCCTATTTTACATGGTACCTTTTGATTTCTTTTGCTTCCTAAGTCAGAATATTCTTTGTGATATTCTGAATAAAATGATTAGGCATTCGTATTTACCGATGTAAAAGCCTGGCCACGATTTATCCAGTTATTGAATATTAAGGGAAAACCTATTCTCGCAAGAAAAATGCCGACTCAGTCCTCTTCAATGTAAATTGATTTTAATCTTAGATACAGTATCATGCCTTTCACTTTTCAAAACAGTCTAAAATCTCCTTTTTCGGAACCGCCATCAACTACCTCTTTCTTCCCATCCCTTTCCTCTTTTTCTCCCTCTCTTAAATATTCTTTCCTTCCTGTCCCTTTTCTCTCTTTTTCTCTCTCTTAAATATTCTTTCCTTACCATCCCATTTCTCGCTTTCTCCCTCTCTTAAATATTATTTTCTTCCTGTCCCTTTTCTCTCTTTTTCTCCCTCTCTTAAATATTCTTTCCTCCCCATCTCTGTCTTTCTCACTCTCTTAAATATCCTTTCTTTCCTATCCTTTTTCTCTCTTTCTCTCTCTTTCAAATATTCTTTCTATTGTAAAAAAGGATTCTTTCTTTAAAATCCTCTTTCAATGAAATATTCCCTCTCTCTCTCTCTCTCTCTCTCTCTCTCTCTCTCTCTCCGTGTCTCTCTGTCCGTCTCAAAGATTATCTAAAAACAAGATCATCTTCAATAGGTAATTCTCTCTTAAATAATGTCTCTCGTTCAACGCTCTTAAAGCAAGATTCTCACTAAAAGAAATTATCTTTTAAGGAAAGGTCCTCTCTCATCCATCTTCTCTCTCACTCACTCTTTCTCTTTCTTTCTAAAGATCCTCTCTATCCTAAAGCTTACGGCCATATCACATTGAAACACCGGTTGCTGTACGATCAACGAAATTAACCAACGTCGTGCCTGGTCAGTACTTAGATGGCTGACCATAGGTGCTGTAATCTTGGGTGTGAGGGTGGTGTAATAAAATAATGGCTCGGAATCGTTAATTGGAGAGCCGAGTTCTAATTGCGTTCTTTATACCCACATACGTGCAAATACCCTTGGGAAAAGTATGAACCCACCTCTTCTCCCCTAAGTACGGGTTAATTAGTAAGACTTTTATCACTCAACCATCATTATTCCCTCACCCACCAAATTCTTAAATGTTGGTAACCCGGAAAAAAAACGAATCAATCAAGATTCCCTATCAAAGAAACTCTTTCTTTCAATGAAAAATTCTGCCTCTTTTTCTCTCTCCTAAAGAGATATTATCTTGTTTCTTTTATAGGAAAGAGTTTTTCTCACTTTTAAAATTCATTCTATCTATCTATCTATCTATCTATCTATCATACATACATACATACATACCAGTTCAGATATTCACAGCTAGGAAACACAATGCCTCTTAAACTGCATCAAATTATTCATATTCACTCTGTATTTCTTTTGGACAGAATCCCAAGAGGGTGCTTCTCCGATCATAACAATCCTAATATTTTTCAAGTCTAAGGGCAACCGATATATATATATATATATATATATATATATATAGTATTTACATTAGTCGGACTATTGTCCTCATCTTTGTCGCCATATTTGTCACAACGTTGTCGCCATATTTGTCGCAACGTTTCGGCCGTTGTACGCTCCGGCTTCTTCAGGTGGTTGGAATTTCGAACTGAACCCTTTATTTCGATCACTGGGGTAGACTGTTCTAATTCCACGTGCCATGTTTGATGGATGTCAGTTATCAGTTATCTCCTGCTAATTTTCCCTCTGAAAGTTCTCCACTGCCTTAACCAGGAATTGAACTCACCTTCTTTGGGTCTGTCACTGGATCTAACCAACGCCTTTATCCACTGGGTATGAACTTCTGAGTATTATAAACCTAATGTTTTCAGCATCATTTTTACCAGTGCTCATATTGCAATTTTTTGCTGTTATCATTGCATGTCTTTACCAGAGTTCATATTGCAACTTTGTTATCATTGCTTTTCTCTGGCACTCCTTATTACTGGTTCCCATATTGTATTTATTTCTATGCTTGGCCGGCTCAGGAGATTTTTGTGGCCTAGCATATCAAACATGGCACGTGGAATTAGAACAGTCTACCCCAGTGATCGAAATAAAGGGTTCAGTTCGAAATTCCAACCACCTGAAGAAGGCCGGAGCGTACAACGGCCGAAACGTTGTGACAAATATGGCGACAAAGATGAGGACAATAGTCCGACTAATGTAAATACTGTACATAATACATCTCAGAAATCTCAGAAATATATAGATATATATATATATATATATATATATATATATATATATATATATATATATTTACAAATATGCACCTCTCCTTCCTCATCTTTTACGTGCTTATAGATATCTCATTCAGCATTCCTCTACCTTGAGTGACTCTTGAGCCTTGCATTGCACAAAAACTCGTAAAAAAGTTTTTCTGTGGTAGACTGGTTGCCAACCAAGTCTGTCGTGCAATTTAACTTCTAACCAAATAACTCATAACCTACAGTCAGCATTATGGATAAGAAAGAAATTCAAATTAATGTTTTTATGAATAAGATTTTTTTTTTTGGACTCAGAGGAGACACGACTATGACATTATGATACTCATTACACCTCTGTCGCGATGAATGCATCCTACATTGTACACATGGGACTCTCCCCTCAATATTTCTCCAAATTGCAGGTGTGTTTATAGCTTGAGTTAGTTTAAGAATTCTTATTGGTCAGGAGGCAAGGTGGAGTAATGGATAGCGGCTCGAATTGAGGAACCGGAGAGTCGAGTTCGAATTCCAGTCGAATCCATTACATTCTAATGCTAATACCCTTGCGAAAGGTAAGATTTCTCTTCTTCTCCCCACCAGCTATGGGCAAATAGCTGGACAGGTCTACCGCAGACTGAAATCTACTGTGGGGAAAAAATCTGCCTCGTTAGTCATGTATCACAAGATGTATGATCGTCTAAGCGTGTATCACGCACGGCAGTGTGTATTGTGGCGGCAGCCTCTGTTATGGCACATGACTGACTGATTGGTCAGGAATAAGGTCAGCAACGACACACCATCAATATTGGAATGACTACTGGACTTGAGAAACCTGCCTGTTTTTCTGTAAAAATATTTCCAGATTTTATAAATGTCAATCAAAATCAATTAATGCTGAATGTTTCCTTATAAGGAAACAACCATTAGCATTATGGTCATGTGTTTGCAATTTATACAAATATTATGACTAAACCCAGAAGCCGCTTGCAGCTTCGCTAAAGCATACAATACCGACTGGTTAGATTTTAGCGTCCTAGCAACAATGAGGTCTTAGAGAGGATGCAAACAGAGAGGAGGCTGATACTTAAACATATAAACTGCCCTTAACGTAACCCTCTACCTTGAGTGACCCCCGAGCCTTGTACAGGGTGAACTCTACTGTAAAAAGAATTGTTTTTATCTAAATGAAACTACAGTAGATAGAGCTTGTTACACTGAATGTACCTTACTAGCCTTAGATACATTTATGATTCTAGTGAAAGCAGTACTGGCATCTCGGTCAATAAATGCCGAATGTTTCCTTATAAGGAAACGGCACATGCTACTATTACGATTAGAGATGATCAGAACAGATACTACACTTTGATCCCAGACAGATGTCCAGGGAGTGAAGAAAAGCGTAACTCAAATAGCATTGGCTGCTCGGTCAATGAATGCCGAATGTTTCCTTATAAGGAAACGGCTAATATTACCATTAGCATTACGGTCATGTGTTTGCAATTTACACAAATATTATGATTAAAACTAGGAACTGCTTGTATCTTTACTAAAGCATACAATACCGACTTTTAGCGTGCGAGGAACGATGAGGTCTTAGAAAGGATGCAATCAGGGAGGAGGCTGATAATTAACTTCAGGATGAGGCAGCTGAAGTTTCTAGGACACATAATGAGGAAGGAGGGCCTGGAGAATCTGATACTCAGGGGTCAAATAGAGGGAAAGAGAGACAAGGGAAAACAACGCATGACATACCTAGCAGGCTTAAGCAAGTGGATGACAGAACGTGGTCTGGCGGAGGTTGCAGAGGGAAGGAACTTGTTGAGAGCTGCAAAGAATAGAGGGGTGAGGAAAGCCATGATCACCTACGTCCTGAAAGGACATGGCACATAAAAGAAGATTTTATGAGATTATCTCGTTGGTCGTAAGTGTGTGGTCGTTAAACAGACTGGTCGTTAAACGAGGAGTAGCTGTATTAAGTACTAATGCAGCAAACAATATTTTTCAAACATCTCAGCATCAATTTCGATTCTAATTTTAGACTTTTATTCAATCAACATTAATCAAACAGAAACGATGAAAATTAATCAACTCGAATGCATCCAGAATGAAAGAAATATGCGAATCACAAATCGTCAGACCAACAAAATGGATTCATATTGTTTCGTCATTTTAGACGGATACCTATTTTTCCTGCGTGTCTGTGTGTGCGTGTGCGTGTCCATGTGTGAGTCTGTTAGAGTGTTAGAAAATCCAAATTGGTTTTGATTAATAAAAATTGGCTCGTCAGCCATGCATAGGAATCAAACCTTCAAGTTAATTATGGCCGATGCCGTTTTTACGTAGCTGGGATTCGCGTTTCGTGTCGAAAGCATGATTGGTTCGAGGGGATAGAAAGATAAAAAACGGAAAGTAAAAATAATAAGAAAGAAACAAGCTTATTGAAAGAAAGAAAGAAAGAAAGAAAGAAAGAAAGAAAGAAAAGGGAAGAAGACCGCAATGAAAAAAAACTTGAGAGGGGAAATGAAAAACAGGAAAGAAGAAGAAAATTAATAAGTTCATCAATTAAAATCTAAACAAAAAATGGAGGAAACATGAAATAAGAGAAGAGAAATGAAAATAAAATGAAAAACAGAGAAATGTTCGATTGATGGTAAGATAAGTAAAAATAAGCATCAAGTAAAAACTAGCTAGCTAGCTAGATAGATAGATAGATAACGAACAGTATGGAATAGATAGATAGATAGATAGATAGATAGATAGATAGATAGATATTACACCCTTGTAATTCTTTCTAGTTTTAGAAAAGTAATGATGAGATTCACATAAATTTCCCATTATTAATGCACACCATATTCCACATATATCCAAATTATTATAAACTACAAGTCACTGTTATATTTGAGCGAGATATTTTTACCGGATATTCAAAAACACTCACTAACAACCTGATTATTGATGTTTCAAGAAATATTTTGTTGCAATTAAAAATTATTATTACGGATTATCCACAAAGTTTACAAAGAGACTGTTGGAATTTCTAGGGCACAAAATGAGGAAAGATGGCTTGGAAAATTTGATACTCACAGGACAGAATGAAAGCAAGAGGAACAAAAAAAAGCAATGCATAAGAAACTTGATGAGCTTGAGTAAATGGATGGCAGAACGAAGTTTCAGGAGAAATAACAAAAAATACAATACTTATTACGAACTACAAAGGGCAGGAGAGTTGTGGAGAGCCATGATTGCCTACCTCCTGAGAGGACGTCACACAAAGAAGGAGACTAGATTAGAGAGAAGATTTCATCATTTTACGGTTGAAATGGCTAAATGTAACCGGAAGTTCTGTGCTAAGAGTTTCTACTATCACACTTCTCGCTTGTGGAACTCTCTTCCGGCTTCTTGCTTTCCACTCAAATTTGATTTTTAAAATTTTAAATGAAATGCCAATCGTAGTTTTCTGTGTTCTTAATTCCAGTTCTTTTATTGTTCTCGCCCTCTAATAGTGCTTTTTACCATATTCTCTAACAGTCAGTAATCCCTTTACTGCATTGATTAATGATGCAATGATTAAAAATAGATAGATAGATACATACATCCGAACAACATTAGATAGATAGATAGATAGATAGATAGATAGATAGATAGATAGATAGATATGAAAAAACTTAGATAAATAGATAGACAAATAGATAGAGATAGAAAGAGAGATAGAAATGAAAAGACTTAGGTATGAACAGAGATAGATCGAGAGAGAGAGAGAGAAAGAGAGAAGGTAGATAGATAGATATGAAAAGTCTTAGATATGAACATAGATAGATAGATAGATAGATAGATAGATAGATAGATAGATATGAACAGATTCAGACAAATATTTTATTGATTGATTGATTGGTTTGTGTTTTACGGCTTATCAACCTTTTAAGGGTTATTAAATTGACAGAAAATATTTTCGATTGTATTAATTTTTGGAGATAATAATGATTTACTGATACATGTCCTACTAATTATCCCATGGCTGGGGGAGAAGAGGTGGATTGATACTTTTGCCAAAGTTATTTTCACTGAAATAAATATAACGAAACCAATTGGAATTCAAACTCGGCTCTCTGATTTTCATTCCCGAGCCATTT